TGACCCTGGACAAGTCTCTTAACCCCAATTGCCTAAAAAAGAAAGAAAGAAAGAAAATTAGAATTGGCAAAATGAAAGTTAATGACTCCATGGGACATCAAGAAATAATAAAACAAAGTCAAAAGTCTGAAAAAATAGAAGAAAATATTAAATATCTGATAGGAAAAACAATTGACCTAAAAAATAGAATGAAGAAAGATAGTTTTAAGAATCATTGATAGGTACAGAAATCTATCTTACCCTACAGGAAAATAAGTGGGGAAGGGGACAAGAGAGCAGGGGGATGATAGAGAGAAGGGCAGATTGGGGGAGGGGATAATCAGAAGCGAACACTTCTGAGGAGGGACAGGGTCAAAAGAGAGAATAGAATAAATGGGGGATGGGATAGGATAAAGGGAAATATACTTAGTTTTTCACAACATGACTACTATGGAAGTGTTTTGCATAACTACACATGTATAACCTGTTTTGAGTTGCTTGCCCAAAATTTTTAAAACGTGTTAAAAAAATTGTTCTCACATGCAACTGGGAAATAAGAAATACAGGAAATGGGGTATAGAAATCTATCCTGCCCTACAGGAAAATAGAGGGGGTAGGGGATAAGAGAAGAGGGGGAGAGATAGAAGGGAGGGCAGATTAGGGGAAGGGGTATACAGAATGCATGCCATCTTGGGATGGGGGGGAGAGATGAGATGGGGATAAAATTTGGAACTCAAAATCTTAAGGAAGTGAATGTTGAAAACTGAAAATAAATAAATTTTAAAAATTTTTTAAAAAGAATCATTGAACTACATGAAATCCATGAACAAAAAAAGGGAGCCTAAACATTATATATTTCAAGAAATTATAAAGGAAAACTACCCAGATTTCTCAGAACTAAAGGATAAATTAGAAACTAAAAGAATCCACCAGTCATCTCCTAAAAGAAACCCCACTAAAAGAAACTCCCAGGAGCATTGTAGCCAAAATTCAGAACTCTCGGGTCAAGGAGAAAGTACTGCAAGTAGCCAGAAAAAAAGAATGCAAGTACCATGGAGCTATAGCCAGGATCAAATAAGATTTATTCTAAAGGAACAGAAGACTTGAAATATGATATTCCAGAAGGTAAAGGATCACAACTAAGAATAAGCTGCCCAGCAAAACTAAGTAGAATCCTACAGGGGGAAAAATAGATATTTAATGAAATAAATTCAATAAGGAATTCAAGGATTCCTTACGACCCACTTATACAAAAATATTTATAGCAGCTCTTTCTGTGGTGGCAAAGAATTGGAAATTGAGGGGATGCCCATCAATTGGGGAATGGCTGAACAAGTTGTGGTATATGAATGTAATGGAATATTATTGTGCTATAAGAAACGATGAGCAGGCGGACCTCAAAAAAACCTGGAAAGACTCGTATGGTCTGATGTTGAGCGAAACGTTGTTCACAGTAACAGCCATTTTATGAGATGACTAACTTTAATAGACTTAGCTCTTCTCAGCAATGCAAGAATCTAAGACATCTCCAAAAGTCTCGTGACGGAAAATGCTATCCACATCCAGAGAAAGAACTACGGAGTTTGAATGCAGACTGAAGCATACTATTTGCTTTTTTTTTTTAAATTTTGTTTCGTCTTTCTTGTGATTCCTCCTATTGGTTCTAATTCTTCTTTACAGCATGACTAATGTGAAAATATATTTAATAAGAATGTATATGTAGGGCCTATATCAGATTGCATGCCATCTTGGGGAGGGGGGCGGAGAGAAAGGAAGAGAAAATTTAAAACTCAAAAGTTTATGGAAGTGATTGTTGAAAACTAAAAATAAATTAATTCATTAAAAAAAAGAATTCCTTATGAAAAGACCAGAGTTGAATAGAAAATTTTTCTATATGACACTTAAACACAGGACTCAAAAGAAACATAAAAAGGTAAACATGAGTGAGAAATCATAAGTACTAAGATTAACCATTAAAAGGTTAAATTGCTTACATTTTTATATGGGGAGATGATACACGTAACCTCTCAAAATTTTATCACTAGTAGGGGTGTTTTAGGGCTCTTAGAGGTAGTTGAATTACATAGAGAACCTGGTGATTCTATTGTATTTGGATGTTCTCGAAAGAAGAATGGAAAGGTGGGCAAGTAAAATGCACAGAGGGGTGAAGGAAGAGGAAGAACAGGGGAAATTACCTAACACAAATGAGGCAAGCAAAGAGTCTGTACAATGGAGGGAACAGGCAATACTTGAACCTCATTTTCACTTGAATGGGTTCAAGGAGGGGAAAATACATATACACATGTAGTTGGATACAGAAATCTACCTTAGCTGATAGGAAAGTAGGAGGGAAACGGGTTGAGAGAAGGGATAGGGAGGGGGGAGAATAAGAACATTTTTTTTGTTGTTCGGTCATATCATTTGCACCCAACTCTTCATAACCCCATTTGGGGTTTTCTTAGCAAAGATACTGGAGTGATTTGCCATTTCCTTTTCCAGCTCATTTTATGAATGAGGAAACTGAGGCAGATAGAGGTCAAGGGACTTTTCCTAAATCACAGTTAATAAATGTCTGAAGCCAGATTTGAACACAGACCTTCCTGACTGCAAGAAGTTGGGTGCTCTATCCCATTGCACCACCTAGCAAGAACAGGTCAGTGGAGAATCAGCAGATGGCATCTCAGCAAAAGAATAAGGAAATGGTATTGCAAGAGAGAAACTGCATGGCAGAAGACACCTGCAGATTTCAGCTTAGCAAAGAAAGTAGCAGCACTGGAGGTAGTGAGGGATCCTGCAAAGAATCCCAAAGAGCATAAGTTGCCTCGGCTTTGAGGGTGCCCTCTTCCATACACGTTCCTTGACCATGTGTGGTCCCTCTCTAGTGGTGGGATGTGCCCCTCTGTGTATGGGGATATTTTCTTTGTCATTTATCTTGCCATGCTGGTAAGCTACATGCCTTTTGCTCTGAATGTGTTCTCTGGTTTGTCTGGTAAAAGAGAAAGACAGATAGGGGTTCATAGGTATACACATACATGAGTTGTGGTTTTTGAATAGATGCTGACTCACAGAGTCCCTTGAATCTCAGGCAGCTTTCAGGGTGCTCCCTTTTGAGGGGAAGGAGGAAGGAAAAAAAGAAGGAAGGGGGGAGGGGAAAAGAGAAAGGAAGGAGGAAGGAAGGGAAGGAAAGAAGTAAATATTTATTAAGAGCTTAAAACTCCAAATGGAGTCACAAACAGTTGGACGCAACTGAAAGGTAACTAAACAATATCGACCATGTGCCAGGCATTGTGCTGCTAATAATAATAATATTTATAGAGTACTGACTGTGTGCCAGGCATTGTGCTGCTAATAATAATAATTAATATTTATAGAGTACTGACTGTGTGCCAGGCATTGTGCTGCTAATAATAATAATATTTATAGAGTACTGACTGTGTGCCAGGCATTGTGCTGATAATAATAATAATAATATTTATAGAGTACTGACTGTGTGCCAGGCATTGTGCTGATAATAATAATAATAATATTTATAGAGTACTGACTGTGTGCCAGGCATTGTGCTGCTAATAATAATATAATATTTATAGAGTACTGACTGTGTGCCAGGCATTGTGCTGCTAATAATAATAATATTTATAGAGTACTGACTGTGTGCCAGGCATTGTACTACGTGCTTTACAAATATTACCTCGTTTGATCCTCACAACAACCCTGTTATTATTATCCCCATTTTAGCACGGAGGAAACTGAGGTAAAGAGAGGTGAAGTGACTTGCCCAAGGATATACAGCTAGGAAGTGTCAGAGCTAGATATGAATTCAAATCTTCTTGACTATCACTTGACTATCCCCTGAGCCACCTAACTGACTCAGTCTACACAGAGACGAAGAAGCTGAAGACCCAATAAGAGAAATTCCGGTGAAACATAAGGCTTATTAAGCATAGCTTCTAGAGCTGAGGAAGAACTCAAGACTAGTCTTTTCATTAATGAAAGGACTGAGCACCAAGGAAATGCTTTGACTTGCTGGAGGCCACACAGGTTGCAGGGGAACTGGAGTTTTGAACAGAATGCACTGCTCTTTCTGTTAGAATCCACTGTCCCAGAGGAGGCTTCCTGAGGCTGGGTCCTCCAGAGACTCTACCCCATCCCCACCCCATACACACACAGCTGTTCTTTCTCCTGAGTCTGTATCCGGCTACTTCTGCTTAGGGTTGTACCACAACTGAGTCAGAAGGCCCTCTGCAAGCTTGGGCTGCTGGAAAGGACAGGTAGGCACACCAGCCTGGGATAGACAGACCATGACGGACCCTGAAGCTGTGTCATGTCCCCCGCTGCTGGTGCTGGCGGATGTCAGAAATACACCCACAATCTACTTCCTCTCTCTGGTCCCTGGGCCCCAGCTGGCCCCAGCCAATCTGACCCTCCCCACCTATTCCTATTCCTTTTCTCATCCCTGCAGTCTCCTTGGTCACAAATAGCCGTTGGGAATCACAGCGTCTCTCGACGGACCTCCGGTGATCAGCTTCAGGGTCTGGCCTGGATCTTTTACCTCCCAAAAGCCTAGACCCAACTGAGACCTCTGAGCACTCGAGCCACAGACAGAAGCTGGTGCAGGGCCCTTAGGACCCAGATGTCATTCCTTCTCCAGTGTTGGTCCCCATGTCTGTCCTTCCCCAGAGATGCCTCCAGGTCTGTCCTCTCCAAAGACCACAGTCAGTCAAAAACCATTTATTAAGCACCTGCTGTGTGCCAGGCACTGTCCTAACTATGACAGTGAGCAAAAGACAATCCCAGCCCTTGAGGAGCTCACCATCAAATGGGAAAGATGAAGGAAAAAGATCCTTAGTATGTCTCTCCTCTCCCCAGGGACCCCGCAACACCCACTTTCTCTCTGGACTGCCTCCGAGGGCACAGCCTTCAGTCCCCACTCATCTGCCCTACACTGAGACACTCAGCAGTCTTACCCCAGATAACTGTCCCCTCCAGCTGTTCATTCTCTGGTATCCCTGGAGCCAACTTACCTTGCATTGAGAGGTCTTTCTGCTACTGACAAAAATCGCGAGGGGTCCATAGAGTGAGTCCTGCCCGCCTGCACTCTGCAGAGCAGGGATCCAGGGTGTCATCTCTGGTCTAGGTTTGGAGAAGGGGTACCTAACCACAGGGCTGACCCACCCCTGCCAAACTTCCTCTTTTCCAAATGACAAAGGCACTATTCTGCTCCCCTTCCTCAAAAGCACTCTCCTCCCCCACTTCCCTCCTTCCCCTCTTCCCCCCTCCTCCCCCAGCCTTCCTCAGCCTTGTGCCCTGCAGCTCTGGGCTCCACTGGCCTGTGTTCTCTCTGCTGGGACCTGCAAGTTCCCTCTTCCTGTGGCCACGTGGGGCTCCTAGTCTGCAGCCTGGCCAGGTCAGTTCTTTCTTCCTCTGCATTCTTTCTCTGTGGGCATAGTAAAAGTTAAACCTTGCTTGGAGAAAGCAAACGCAGCTTCTGGTCCCCTCCAGCCAGGTCTTGGGTGGCTCCCTTGGGGTGGGGCAGGTGGTAAAGGTGGGGCTCAAGGGTGGAGCAGGCCTAGGGGGCTCTAGAGGAACCAGGCCCCTGGGGCTGTTACCCTCCCAGCCAGCTTCCTGTAACACACTGCCAAAAAACAGATTTCAGAAACCACAGACACACACACACACACACACACACACACACAACACACACACACACACACTCTCACTCACATGTGCTCACACAGAAACCTCAACTTAGGCTGAAAAATAGAAATTAGAAAGCCACCTGCACACACCCGGTACTTAGAGCCCCACGGACACACAACAGGGACAGTGGAGGGCTTCATGGACAAATGAGAGACAGGAACACCCGCGTTCAGCTCTCACTTTTGACATAGAAGGACTGGGGGGCCCTGAAAAAGTTCCTCAACCTCTCATTGCTTCCCCCTTCACCATCACCCTTCCCCCCAACTCTCTAAGACTATGTAAGTGAAGATGGTGCCAACCTTCGGAGGTTAATGATTGTAAGTGGCAGAACCCTCAGTGAGCTGCATTGGTGGAAGGCATTTCCTCCTGATATAGACAAAATAACAGACACCCACATGTGTGCATCCATGTGCAAGCATATAGAGTAACAATTGCTAGTATTTATAGAGTACTCTAAGGTTTACAAAGAGTTTTCCATATATTATCTTATTGCATCCTCATCACAACCTCTGAGGTAAGGTTGCTATTATTATCCCCGTTTCACAGATGAGGAAACTGAGACCACCAAGTGTCTAGGGCAGGATTTGAACTCAAGTCTTTCTAACTCCAAATCCAGTGCCCTACCCGAAATGCCTTATGTACACTCGCAAGCCTGCACCCCAAAACAAATACAACTCAGAGTGGTTTGTGGGGGATTGTTTCTTTTTTGGGTGTGTGCTTTGATATCTAAGTGCCTCATGGGGGAGCCCTGAGGGAGACCTATAGGGCAGGAGACCTGATAGCCCCTGGACTGCTGCAGAGTAGCCATTGCAGAGAAGTGACTCACTTTCTTCCCATCAGAATGAGAAGGGTGGCGGAGATCAGGGAAGAGGGTCAAAGGCAGGGATCCTTAGGAGGCAGGATGATGTAAACCAGAGCTAGTCCAATTCATGCAGTGGGAAGAGAACAATGGATTTGTAATCAAGGACCAGCTGTGCTATTTCCTACCCATGGGACCCTTGGCAAATCCCTTCTGGTCTCTGCGGCCTCAGTTTCCCTCTCTGCAAAACAGACAGGATGACTGTTCTTGTCCTGCCTCCCTCATTATGAGGATGAGTTGAGAATGCTTATATGATTTAGAAGCATAATTCTGTTTTATTTGAGACTGAGTCTCCCTATCTCGTCCAAGCTGGAATTGCAGCTGCTGCTCCTGGCCTGATCTTGGTACTGATTGGCATGGAGGCCTTCAACTCCTCTGGGCTGGTTCTCCCCTCCTTAGGCAGCTTGGTAAGCCCTCTGCTCCCAGGTGCTTCATCCTCTCATTAGCTTTAGCCTTATTTTTTTTTAAATATTTTTATTTATTTCATTAAATATTTCCCAAACATATGTAAAAAATTTCTAATATTCACTTAAAAAAACTTTGAGTTTCAAATTCTCTCTCTCCCTCCCCTCCCCCTTCCTTGAGAAGGCAAGTAATTTGATTTTGAGTATACACACGAAGTCATGCAAAACACATTTCCATATTTGCCAAGTTGCAAAAGAAAACAGACAGAAAAAAATTTTAAGAAAACAACAAAGAAAGTAAAAAGAAAGTCTCCTTCAAGCTGCATTTGGAGTTCCTCAGTCCTCTCTGGAGGTAGAGAGCATTGCCTTTTTTTTAAAATTAATTTATTTTGATTTATCAACAATCACTTCCATAAGCTTTTGAGTTTTAAATTTTTCTCACTCTCCCTCCCCCCCTCTCCCCAAGACAGCATGCAATCTGATATAGGCTCTACATATACATTCCTATTAAACATATTTTCAACATTAGTGATGCTGTAAGGAAGAATTAGAGCCAATATAAGGAACCACGAGAAAGAGGAAACAAAACAAAACAGAAGAAAAAAAAAGAGTAACAGTATGCTTCAATCTGCATTCAAACTCCATAGTTCTTTCTCTGGATGTGGATAGCATTTTCCGTCATGAAACTTTTGGAGATGTGTTACAAAGTTAGTCATTGTACAATGTGGCTGTTGCTGTGTACAACATTCTCCTGGTTCTGCTCACTTCCCTTAGCATTGGTCCATACAAGTCTTTCCAGGTTTTTCTGAAGTCTGCCTGCTCATCATTTCTTATAGCACAATAGTATTCCATTACATTCATATACCACAACTTGTTCAGCCATTCCCCAATTGATGGGCATCTCCTCAATTTCCAATTCTTGGCCACCACAAAAAGAGCTGATATATTTTTGTACATATGGGTCCTTTTCCCATTTTTATGATCTCTGTGGGATACAGCCCTAGAAGTGCTATTGCCCAGGTCAAAGGGTATGCATATTTTTATAGCCCTTTGGGCATAGTTCCAAATTCTTCTCCAAAATGGCTGGATCATTTCACAACTCCACCAACAATGCATCAGTGTTCCAATTTTCCCACATCTTCTCCAACATTTATCATTTTCCTGTTTTGTCACGTTAGCCATTCTGATAGGTGTGATGTGGTACCTCAGAGTTGTTTTGATTTGCATTTCTCTAATCAATAGTAATTTAGAGCATTTTTTCACATGACTATAAATGGCTTTAATTTCTTCATCTGAGAACTGCCTGTTCATATCCTTTGACCATTTATCAATTGGGAAAGGCTTGTATTCTTATAAATTTGACTTAGTTCTCTATATAGTTTAGAAATGAGGCCCTTATCAGATACATTGGTTATAAAAATTCTTTCCCAATTTTCTGCTTCCTTCTAATCTTAGTTGCATTGGCTTTGTTGTGCAAAAACTTTTCAATTTAATGTAATCAAAATTATCCATTTTGCTTTTCATAATGTTCTCTATCTCCTGTTTGGTCATGAATTCTTCTGTTCTCCATAATCTGATAGGTAAACTATTCCTTGCCTCCCAGTTTGCTTACAGTATCAGCCTTTATATCTAAATCATGAACCCATTTTGACTTTTTTTGGTATATGGTGAGATTTGTCTATGCCTAGTTTCTGCCATACTCTTTTCCAGTTTTCCCAGCAGTTTTTTCAAAGAGTGGTTCTTATCCCAGAAGCAGGGGTCTTTGGGTTTATCAAATAGTAGATTATTATAGTCATTGACTACTATGTCTTGCATAACTCTATTCCACTGATTCACCACTCTATTTCTTAGCCAGTACCAAGAGTTTTGATGATTGCTGCCTTATAATACAATTTAAGATCTGGAATTGCTAGGCCACCTTCCCCTGCATTTCTTTTCATTAGTTCCTTGATATTCTGGACCTTTTGTTTTCCAAATGAATTTTGTTATTATTTTTTCTAGAACTATAAAATAATTTTTGGTAGTTTGATTGCTATGGCACTGAATAAGAAATTAGCTTAGGTAGAATTGTCATTTTTATTATATTAGCTCAGCCTACCCATGAGCAACTGATGTTTTTCCAATTATTTAGATCTGACTTTATTTGTGTGAAAAGTGTTTTGTAATTGTGTTCATAGAGTTCCTGGGTTTTTTCAGTAGAGACTCCTAAATATTTTATAATGTCTACAGTAACTTTAAATGGAATTTCTCTTTTTATCTCTTGCTGTTGGGCTTTGTTGGTAATATATAGAAATGACAATATTTATGTGGGTTCATTTTATAGCCTGCAACTTTGCTAAAGTTGTTTATTATTTCAAGTAGTTTTTTACTTGATTCTTAGGATTCTCTAAGTATATCATCATGTCATCTGCAAAGAGTGATAGCTTTGTTTCTTCTTGCCTATTCTAATACCTTCAATTTCTTTTTCTTTTCTTATTGCTAAAGCTAATATTTCCAGTACCATATTGAACAGTGGTGATAATGGACATCCTTGTTTCACCCCCGATCTTATTGGAAATGCTTCTAGCTTGTCCCCATTACATATAATGCTTGCTGAAGGTTTTAGTAGATGCTATTTATTATTTTAAGGAAGACTCCATTTATTACCTATGCTTTCTAGTGTTTTTAATAGGAATGTGTTGTATTTTGTCAAAAGCTTTTTCTGCATCTATTGAGATGATCATGTGGTTTCTGTTGGTTTTGTGTTGATATGCTCAATTATGCTGATAGTTTTCCTAATATTGAACCACCCTGCATTCCTGGTATAAATCCTACCTGGTGTGTATTCTTGTGATAAGTTGCTAATCTATTGCTAATTTTTTTAAAATTTTGCATCTTATTCATTAGGAAATTGGTCTATAATTTTCTTTCTCTGTTTTGACTCTTCCTGGTTTAGGTATCAGCACCATATTTGTATCATAAAAAGAATTTGGTAAGACTCCTTTCTTCCTATTTTCCCAAATAGTCTATATAGTATTGGAATTAATTGTTCTTTAAATGTTTGATAGAATTCACTTGTAAATCCATCTGGCCCTGGAGATTTTTTCCTAGGGAGTTCATCAATGGCTTGTTCAATTTCTTTTTCTGAGATGGGTTATTTAAGTATTTTACTTCCTCTTCTGTTAATCTGGGCAATTTATATTTTTGTAAATATGTATCCATTTCACTAAGATTGTCAAATTTATTGGCATATAGTTGGGCAAAATATTCCTAATTATTGTTTTAATTTCCTCTTCCTTGGTG